CGGCCTTAAAGCGGCCGCCATTGGCTATCGTTAATGAGATCATGAAACAAATGCACATACATATTGTGACATGATGTACTTGTGTGTGTGAAGTTTGAACTCGATCAATCCAGGCATGTCTCAGATATGGATCCAGAACTGAATTCTTTAAAACAAAATGGCCGCCAGTCGGCCATTTCGAACCCGATCCAAAAAAAAAAAAATGACGTGCATCAAGGTCCTATTATGTTTAATGTATGTACCAAATTTGAACAAAATCCGTCCATGCATAACTGAGATCCGGGTCCGGAATGCTGAAAATGTGCGATTTTGATGCATTTTCTGCCTTAAAATGGCCGCTTTTCGGCTATCGTTAATCGGATCATGAAAAAAATGCATGTGCATATGTCCCATATAATGTGTGTTGTATGAGTGAAGTTTCAACTTAATCGGTCCATGCATGTTCGAGATACAGGTGATCAAGGACTCACGGATGCACGGACGCACACAGGGCAAACCATAAGTCCCCGTTTTCGGACTACGTCCGAACGGGGACTAATAAGGTCTGCACAATGTAAAAGTAATAAGATCTGCGTAATATCTATGTACCAAGTTTCATTGAAATGTGATTAGAACCAAAAAATTATTAATTATTATGCTAATATGAGCAGAATATGAACAGATTTTAACCCAAAATTAATCAGGCTATTTATTTCCTAGAGCATTTGTACCAAATTTTATTAAAATGTAATGATCAGTACTTGAGATACCTGTATTAATTAATTAATTATGTTAATTAGGTATTTATACCCCAAAACTAATTAGGTCTCTGCACAGTTCTCAAGTAACTATGTACCAGGTTTCATTGAAAGGTGATCATTACTACTTGAAATATCAAAAGCTGAAAATTAATCAATTATGCAAATTAGGTAATTAATATGTACTAATATTACCCTGTGAGGTCTGTGAAATATTGTATGACATCTACGACATCAAGTGTTATTGATATGTTATGATTAGTACTTGAGATATCAGTGGAAAAGCCGAACATTGATTAATCATTATGCAAATTAGGTAATTAATATAAACAGATTTTTACCCAAAACTAATAAATCTGCGCATTAGTTCAGAGCAGCCATGTGCCAATTTCATCAAAATCCAATGAGTGATTCTTCAAAAATCAGTGGAACAGTCATGGAACAGCTTAAAATCAGTTAACATGCAAATTAGGTAATTAATTTTCATGAATTTTACCCAAAACTAATCAAATCTGCACATTAGTTCAGAGCATCCATGTGCAAAGTTTCATCAAAATCCAATGGGTGGTTCTTCAGATATTAGCGGAACAGTCATGGAAAAGCTAAAAATCAGCTAATTATTATGCAAATTGGGTAATTAATATTCATGG